ACTACTGTTGACCCCGATCGAAACGGAAGAAGACGACGATGAGAAGGAACCAAACTTCGCCGTGAATCTCTTCCCCTGACCGCGATCAAGCTTATCCGTCACAATCAACATTTTTTTCAGAGAAAGTTGAAAATCTTTCTCAATCCACAGAGAAAGAGAGAGATGGGGAATGGGATCTTTTAATATATATACTTGAGTTTTCCTGTTTCCGTGTCTGTGTGCTCTTCTGTTTGTTTTCATGATTAAGAATGAAAGGTAAAAAAACATTTATTATTACAAAGGAGGTGAAGATAAGTATTGAAAATGTTTTGTTTGCACTTATCCTAAGCCACCTCACTCATTTCCTTGCTAATTGCCTGCTATATGCATTTCCCATAAAAAAAAATTATGCATATCTACGGGGATATCTGTGGCCCACTGAATATATTTTGTGGTCTGTTTATGGTCGACTCATGACATAAATTGGTAAGAAATAGCATAAGCATAGATATGAGATGATTAGGAGCGATTAAAAAAGATTATGTTAAAAGATAGGCAGAGAGCATTATTTTCCACCTCATTTTTTATGCTTTGTTTCTTCATCAGTTTTAAGCTTTTCTGTTTTTATTTGTTTCCACATGTTCTACATTTTTTTCTTTTTCAAAAATTATGATTTTTTCTTAATAAGTAATTGACATTTTCAACTAAAATTATTAAAATATTATATTTTAAATATTGTTTTTACTATTTTTAAAAAATATTTGTATGTACGAGGATCCAGTAACTTGGAACCGGTTTGAATTGTTGGCTATGCTTATTTTATTCTGATATAACAAAATCCATAGTAAACTACTTGTACGCTGAAATAGCATCAAATAAAATAAAAACAAGTTGGCTGATCTGAAAAAGCTCCAAAATCTTCATTTGACAAAGTACTTATTTAATCAGTATGATAATATTTACATGCATATATACAACCATTAAAAAAAAATCATTCTAAAACCAAAGTCCACCAAATCCTACAAGACAGTGGAAAGAGGGAATGGAAGCAGCACGTAGTCTACTTTATTTTACTGAATACTCAGAAGATTGATGATTATGAACCAAAGAAACAATGGCATAACGCATTTTTGGCTAATATAATAAACACTTCTTGACTTACATCAAATTTGTTTTTTTTTTGAACGAAATAGATCTCATCATCTTTATCACAAACAAGGATTCAATGATATGGGTTGAACTACAGTCTACAGGGTACAACCATCTCAATTATACTCATGTCCTCTTCTTTTTATATAACTATTTTACAACGAAAGATTCTTTTTATATAACTATTTTTCAACGAAAGACTAAATTACGTCTAACCATCAGAAATAAGAACAATGTATGATCTAAATTAATGGAAATAACGAAGAACTCAATCACCTTTTTTTAGGATCTTAAATTTTAGAAACGAAAACGATAACAAAATCTAGTGACCGATGGATGTAAATATCTAAGTCAGGATTAGTAAACCTATACTTAACCTTCTTCCAAGAAATTTCTATTATAAGTTTTCTTTAATCATTCCCGCCATCTTAAACCGATATAAAAAAACTTGAGGCAGAAGAAGGAGACAGAAAAAAAAACCAATAAAACAAAAAACAAGAAAAAACGAAAAGCATGCAGTTGTTTTTCGTTTTTTGTTGATACAAAAAAAGAAATTCATAGAAAGAGAGAAAAAACCAAAAAAAACAAAAACAAAAAAAAAGCAGTTTTCTTTTCTTCCTGTTCTCAGTACTTATATAATTAAGACTTCGCATTTCTATTACAAAACAAAAATTTGAAAATCATGGGTTATCATGGGGATAAAGGAAGAGGAAATGTTGTGACTAGGGCCATACTTTTGGGTCTCTTAAGCATTGTGTGTGTGGATGCTACTTTCATAAATTACAAAGAAGCCCTAACCAAATCCCTAATCTTCTTGGAGGCACAAAGATCAGGCAAACTCCCTCCTAACAACAGGGTTAAGTGGAGAGGTGATTCTGCTCTTGACGATGGCAAACTCGCAAATGTAAGTGTTGTGTTATATTTTATTACATTTCTACTGAATAGAAGAAATATGTTACGATAAAGAATATGATGATTGATTATACAATGTATAGCTGGATTTGTCTGGAGGATACTATGACGCAGGAGACAATGTGAAGTATGGTCTTCCAATGGCGTTCACCATCACAACGCTAGCTTGGTCGACCATTTCCTATGAGAAAGAACTCCGAGCCGCAGGAGAGCTCGAAAACGCTCGTGCTGCTATCCGTTGGGGCACAGATTATTTCCTCAAATGTGCTTCTAAGAAGGACCGCCTCTATGTTCAGGTCCGAACCAAATATCTCTTTAAGCAATTTTTAAACATTTTTAACCTAAATTTGGCTTTCTAGCTAAGAGACCCAAAACCTTGTTCTTACACATGGAATGAAGAATCACCACCTTTTCATTAATTTTAGATCATGCAAGAAAAGATGAACATGCACATTTATTAATTGAAATGTTTGTGCATGTGAATATGATCAAATATAGGTTGGTGATCCAAACGCTGATCACCAGTGTTGGGCGAGGCCCGAGAACATGCAGACGCCAAGGACGGTGTTGCAGATCAGTGATAAAGATCCTGGAACCGAGATCGCCGCCGAGACTGCCGCTGCGTTGGCCGCTTCGTCCATTGTTTTCCGCCATGTCGACCACAAATATGCCCGACAGCTCCTCAACAAAGCCAAATTGGTATGCTTATTAAACAACGCATCTCTTAATACAAATATATATATACTTGTTTTACTAAATAAATGAATTGGAGATTTGACCAATATCTCTACAAAATTTCAGCTTTTCAAGCTAGCCAAGAGCCACAAGGGTACATACGATGGAGAATGCCCTTTCTATTGTTCTTGCTCCGGCTACAATGTAAAATCTCATCTCTAACCTCTAAAAGAATTTTCATTTTGTCTTTGTTTTCACATAGTAATTGATATTAAATTTTGACACAAATGTGTGAAGGACGAGTTGATATGGGCGGCAACATGGCTATACAAGGCAACGAGGAATGAGATATACCTTAGCTTCCTCAAATTTGAAGCCATAAGTGCTTACGTCTCCGAGTTTAGCTGGGATCTTAAGTACGCTGGTGCACAGATCCTCATTGTCAAGGTATATTATAACACATATCCAACATTATAGTTCTCTTTTTTGGTCGGTCGAAACCATTTTATATATTACATATGTAAAAAAATGCAGATGATCTTCGAAGGCGCTAAAGGACTTGACCTATACAAACAACAAGCCGATAGTTTCGTCTGCTCGAATATCCCCGGCAGTCCATACCACCAAGTCTTCAATACTCCAGGTCCATATATTAACATAGTATATAATTAGAAACATATTTATACTTTGATACACAAAGTGATCTTGATTATAATAATTAGGTGGTATGATTCACTTGAGGGATGGAGCCAATACTCAATATGTCACTGCGACGGCTTTCTTGTTCTCGGCCTACGCTGATCTTCTACATGCACATAACCAAAAGATTTCCTGCGGAAGCAAACAATTCGATGCAACACACCTTATGGCTTTCGCCAAAAAACAAGTAAAAAATCTTTTATCTTTTATCAATTCACCACCTGATTTTCCATAAGAATACAATCTTATTGCATATATATATACACATGGCATGACGTTCTCTGTTCTATATGCACGTTACAGATTGACTACATACTAGGGGCTAACCCAAGAGGAAGATCGTACATGGTTGGCTTCGGTCCAAACCCGCCAAAGCAGGCTCACCACAGAGGAGCCTCAGTGCCAATGCATGAAGCCAACGATCCCCTAAGCTGCCCAATGAGCTTCGTGAAATGGTACAACAAGAACGTGCCTAACGCCAACGAGCTAACCGGAGCCATCTTGGGAGGACCCGACCGTCAAGATAACTTCCAGGATCTACGGTGGACCTCCGTTTACACAGAGCCTTGCACTTACATCAACTCTATCGCTGTCGGTCTTCTCGCCAAGCTCGCTGCCAAGGCTTAGAGCCATATATACCACATTTGAGACGGCTTTGATGAAAAGTATTACTATAGGGTTTCCTTTACCTACTATACTCGCATAAAAAAATGTGGCCATGCAATGTGACTCTGTTTTCTTTATTTTTGCCTTTGTAGGTAGCTCTTTGGAATTCTGTTTTCTCCAAAATATATAATTGCATGGGTATAATAATAAGCCCTACTGATTTGAAACAATAAGTAAGAGAAATTACTGAATAGCCGGAATGGTGTAAACTCATTCCGTTTCACGTAGATTGTTGTTCTCAACTCTAATTTTGTTTTATATAAAATGATGTTTTGTTAATTAATTTCTGTGTAATTTACATAACATAAACAAATATATTTTAACACAAATGTCTGTCTATGTGTTTCTATAAAAAAAATATACTCACTATTCTGAAATATTTATCAATTGTAATAAGATTTGTTATAACAAGCTAAAAAGCTTTTTCACTACCCAATTTTTAACTTTCTTTTCTTTAACGAGAACATAAAACCGGAATCCGATTTTAATAACCAACCAGCGCGAATTTATGAACCGGCATTGACCCGGATCCATCGCCAAGCAGCAGCAGCACAAGCATCGAAAGTCAAATCTTTCTTTTCCTCTGTTGACTATTTTAAGTTGGTGACTAATTTTGATTAAAGAAACAAATCTGCACAGATGGAATTGGGTCTCTAATTAAAGAAAAACAAAACTCCCATTCGAAAACTCATGTTCTAACTTCTCTCACACCAGTGTCAGTGCTGTACGAGAGAAAAGAGAATCACTTTTTCAATTTCTTTTGGGTATTTGTGCGTTTAGAGACTCTGTTTGGTTCTTCAAAAGTCGAAGCCGATTCCAACCCACAAAACCAAAATTCGAAATTCCCTTTACCAGAGAAGAATCTACCTACAAATCTTTCCCGGAGATTTTTTTTCGCCGCTTTATTAGTCTTCGTCGTCATGCATTCCGCGTCGGAGCCTGAGAGAATGGAGGAAGAAGAACAACCACGTGAAGGAGGAGGAGGGAGCAATTCGCTAAAGAGGAAATTCTCTGAAATCGATGGAGATCAAACTCCTGACTGTTCCTCTTCTCCTATGATGATCGACTCTAATGGGTATCTTTGATCTTCCTCTCCTTCTACTTGATTTTTGTTTTGTGTTGGTTTTTTGAGCTAATTCACTAAAGTTACTCTCTTTCTTATTGTGGGTCTGTGAGTTTTTGCAGCAGTTATGAGTCGAAAGTGTACGAGGTTGCCAAGGAGAGGAACACAATTGCTCTTCTGGAGACAGCAACTGATAAGTCACAGATAGTCAACATGATTGTCAAAGGCATGAGATCTTCTAATGCTGCCAAAAGATTGATAATTTTCTTGGCCCCAACTGTAAATCTTGTCAAACAGGCAAGTCTTTCTTTTTATCTGATTAGTAGGCTCATTTGATTGATGTTTGTGAAAGAAAAACTGTTCCTTTTGATTTTTAATCACTCTGACTCGATGATATTGGTAAATGAATCACCTTGGGAGCTCGTTTAATTGATGAATGTGAAAAGAAAAACTGTTTCTTTTGGGGGTTTGTATGGTTTATGTAGGATTTATTCACTTGAATCCTTAATATTGGCTAATGAATCACCATGGGAGCTCACTTCAGAACGTTTTTGTTTCTGTTGTTGTTGTGTATGGTTTTAGCAATGCTGTGAGATCAAAGCAAATGTAAATCTGAAGGTTGAAGAGTACTTTGGAGCTAAAGGAGTTGATAAATGGACATCCCAGCGCTGGGAAGAAGAACTTAGCAAGCACGATGTAAGTTTGGGTTCCTTCTTGTATATGCTAACAACTGACTTCCTCTCTAGAAGTTTCCATGAAATATATCACAATGAACAAAAAGCCCAGAAGTTCTTTAATATCACAGGACGTTGCCTAAATCTTCTTTTCTTGATGAACATTTTGATTTTCTTGCACAGAATTTTGTAATGTTTTGAGCCATGGATGGTCAATGTGGTTAATACTTTGTTTGTTTAAGCCCTTTCAGACTATCTTCCATAATTTTTTCTTAACAGTTTGTTTGGTATTGATCTGTCTATCATCTGATGTTCTGTCTGGTTCAGGTTATGGTAATGACTCCTCAAATACTTTTGGATGCCCTCAGAAGTTCCTTCATGCAACTAGAGATGGTACATCTTCTAGTAATCGATGAATGTTACCGCACCACAGGCAATCATCCCTATGCGAGATTAATGAAGGTTTGTTTCCTTATATCCATAGTTAGTTACTTATATCCATATGTGTTAATAAACTATCTTCTTTCTGTTTTTGCATGAAGGAATTCTATCACAAATCAACTGATAAACCGAAGATATTTGGTTTGACTGCATCAGGATTCGTTAGAAAAGGCATGCCATTTAAAATTTTCTCAATTCCTCTCTATGTCTAATCTGATCTTTAACTTCTTTGTTTATGATTCAACCTCATGTAAGTAAAATAAACTCATATTGCTAGAGTTTTCTCAATATGTGCAGATCAAGTATTTGAACTTGAGAGCCTCTTGGACTCAAAGGTACTTTTGTTTTTGTGTGACAAGGAAACAAATAATTTGTTCACGTATTAATTTTCTGTAACTTTTGCTTTGAACTTCAGATTTTTAATCATGAAGAGCAGAAAGGGGTGGAAATTTTTGCTACAACAGTAAAAGAGGGTCCAATATTTTATGATCCATCACCTTTCTCTACTCTTGAATTGAAAGAAAAGCTAGAAACATTGAAGCTCAAGGTATGTTTGCTCAATGTGTAGGAGCCAGAACACTGCTCTTTCCTATTATGTTTCAGAGGGCTTGAAAATGGTTTTATTCTGTTATACAGTTTGGTGCTTCTTTATCAAGGCTTCAAGAAATGGAAAAAGACCGGTTTCCCGACATGGAGGATAAGTTTCAGACATATCGAAAGCGGTTGTCCATTGACTACAGTGAGATTTTGCATTGCCTTGATAATCTCGGCCTGATTTGCGCACATTTGGTATTCTTTCTATCACATACGACCAGCTTTGTTCTGATTAATCAGTTTCTTCACCTGCACTACCTTTTGTTCTGATTTTTCGTTTTTTCTATCTTGCTTTCGTTAAAGGCAACTGAAGTCTGCTTGGAGAAAATCTCAGATACGAAAGAAGAAAGTGAGGTCTATAAAGAATGCTCAATGTTGTGTATTCAATTTCTTGAGGATATCTTATCCACGCTTGGGGTGCATTTGCAGCAAGGTACTGTATTCAAAGCTCTATTTTGCATTGAGGAGCCAGTAATTCTATATTTTTTTTCACTGTGACTCTCATTTGTCTGATTTTACAGAAGAGAAGACTACAGTAGATTTGCAGCAAAACCATCTGTCAGCAGTGAACTTGAGACGTGTATCTCCAAAGTTAAAAGAACTTTTCCATTTATTGGAGTCATTTAGGTAAAATCAAATTGTTGTTTCAGCTCCCAGAATTGCAACAAAATTCCCTTCTTCTCTGATGATTTCTTTTGCTTGCTTGCAGAGGCGAAAAGCAAAAACCTTGCCTAATTTTAATTGAGAGAATTATAACAGCGGAAGTGATCGAGAAATTCGTGAAAAAAGAAGCCTCTTTAGGTTACCTTAATGTCTTGTATTCAATCAGAAACAACGCTTCTTCACAGAACACACCAGTTGAAATTTCTGATTCATTTCACGCTGGCAAGGTTAGCTGTTCTTCATCAGAGTCAGACGATTAACATATCAAGAAATGTATTATATTTTGTCGTTGCTGAAAGTTTTTAAAAAATGGAATGTAGGTGAATCTTGTATTTACCACAGATGTAGTTGAAGATGGACTCCAGGTGCCAAATTGCTCATGCGTGGTATGTTTTGACCTTCCCAAAACAGTGTGTAGTTACTCGCACTCTCAAGAACTCGCCAAACATAGTAACTCTAAGTCCATTATGTTTCTTGAAAGGTAGGAGACAATCTTGATTAATCACCAAAATGATTACCAAAATCATGTGCCCTCTTTTGAAACTCAGCTTTTTAACGCTAATTATCGTAGGGGGAACACTAAACAAAGAGACCATCTGTATGAACTTATGCGAAGAGAAGTCCCAATGCGACATCCAGAAACTCCAAACTTGAAATTGTGTCCACCTCCAGTGACAAACGGCCATGGAGAGAAGCAGGAGACTGGAGCCTCGGTTATTCCAGATTCTAGCATCACTGTCTTTGACGAAGCAGCTTCCACTCAAACCAAAACTGATCCTCCTAGTGGAAATGAGCAGCCAGCAACTAAGAAGTTACGTCAATCGGACGCCCTTTCACAATGCAGCACCAAAGAGAAAGTCGTCTCTTCTAAAATTAAACCATCTTCATCCTCTGCAGGTTTGTTTATTAATGTCTTGATTCACACACACACCAGAAGATGCATAAATTATGTGCATGTTTTAATGTCATGGAGCTTCGCTGAATTTGTTTGTATATCTTTTATTCTTTGGACAGGTTCAAAAAAACGCAAGGAGTTGCACGGGACAATCCGTGCAAACGCATTATCAGGAGCTTGGGGAGAAAATCTTGATGGTGCAATCTTTCAGGCTTATAAGTTTGACTTCTGCTGTAATATTTCCGGGGAGGCCTACTCAAGTTTCTCTCTTCTGATTGAGTCAACCCTCGCCGAGGATGTTGGTAATGTCGAAATGGACCTTTACCTGGTCAGGAAGTACGTGAAGGCTTCCGTCTCACCTTGTGGCCAGATACATTTGAGTCACGAAGAGGTAACTTCCCACTCTCCTGATCCAAGATGTTTATAAAGTTTCTTATTCCATGGTTTGATCTTATTGTCTTCTTCTCCATGCAGATGGTAAAAGCAAAGTATTTTCAGCAGTTTTTCTTCAATGGAATGTTTGGAAAGTTGTTCGTTGGATCCAAGTCAGAGGGAACAAAGAGAGAGTTTTTGCTTCAAACTGACACAAGTTCTCTTTGGAACCCTTCCTTTATGTTTCTACTGCTCCCTGTCGAAATGAATGACGACATAGTTTCAAGTGCGAAGGTTGACTGGTCAGCAATCAACTCCTGTGCCTCGATAGTTGAGTTTATGAAGAAAAATTCTCTTCTTGACCTTCGGGTTAGTGAAGAAAGCCGCTGCAACACCTCATCGGTTGAGGAAGTTCTACTCGAGGATGAGAAGAAGGAAACGAATCTGATTCATTTTGCCAATGCTTTGTCTGATAAAGATAGTCTTGAAGAAAGTGTGGTCGTTGCAATTCATACCGGAAAGATATACTCTATAGTTGAAGCATTAAAGGATTCTTCTGCTATGAGCCCGTTTGAGGACGACGTCTCATCAGAATACACTACTTATGCAGAATATTTCAAGAAAAAGTAAGTCATATTCTAGCAATATATGTTCTCTCAATTTACTTATGTATCTTATAATAACTCTGTGGTTAATGTCATTTCCAATTACTCAGGTATGGGATAGTATTGGCACACCCGAATCAGCCGCTGTTGAAGCTGAAGCAGAGTCACCATGCGCACAACCTTTTAGTCAACTTCAATGATGATGGTAAGTTGAGTCTTGAGCTATGATCTGAATTGTGGTGTACACTGTACAAAGTCTTAAAGACGATGTTTCCAATGTATATGGACAGTGATTGTGAAGACAGAGACAGAGGCTGGTAATGTTAGAAAAAGAAAACCGAACATCCACGCGCATCTACCTCCTGAGCTTCTGGTGAGGATTGACGTATCGCGTGCTGTGGTAAAATCAATCTACTTGCTGCCATCAGTGATGCACCGCCTAGAGTCTCTAATGTTGGCAACCCAACTTAGGGAAGAGATCGATTGTAGCATTGATAACTTCAGCATATCGAGTAAATCGGTATGGTTTTTCACATAATCTATCATTAAGAGATGAAACTATATCATTCACTTCTTGTATTGGTTTTGATGGATCAGGTTCTTGAAGCGCTTACAACACTGACATGCCCTGAATCGTTTTCCATGGAGCGTTTGGAGCTGCTCGGGGATTCAGTCTTAAAGTATGTTGTGAGCTGTTCTCTATTCCTAAAGTATCCTGACAAAGACGAGGGACAGCTTTCTCGGCAGAGGCAATCGATTATATCTAACTCAAATCTTCACCGCTTAACAACAGATCGCAAACTACAGGTAGTATAATCTAATACTATATGTTAGTAATGCATTATATCAGTCGTAGTAAAACTAAAGATCTTTGGTTTGATAGGGATACATAAGAAATGGCGCTTTTGAACCGCGTCGCTGGACAGCACCTGGCCAAGTCTCTCTCTTTCCCGTTCCTTGCAAGTGTGGGATTGATGCTAGAGAAGTACCATTAGATCCAAAATTCTTCTGTGAGAACATGACTTTAAAACTTGGAAAGTCTTGTGACAATGGACATAGATGGACGGTTTCGAAATCTGTATCAGATTGCGCTGAGGCCCTGATTGGTGCCTATTATGTCAGCGGTGGACTGCCTGCGGCTCTTCATATGATGAAATGGCTTGGTGTCAACGTTGAGTTCGACGCAAAACTAGTCACTGAAGCCATCGACAGAGCTTCTCTACTGTGTTACATTCCTAAAGACGATGAGCTCGCGGAGTTGGAGACAAAGATCCGACATGAGTTCTCTTCAAAGTTCCTTTTGAAAGAGGCCATCACTCACTCCTCTGTCCATGAATCATATTCTTACGAGGTATGTATGACTTCATCTGCATTATCTGGCTTAGCTGTTCCTGGCTTTTGTAATCTCATTCTATCATATAACTTTGTTCCTCAAGCAGAGATTGGAGTTTCTTGGCGATTCTGTACTGGATTTTCTAATCACACGCCATCTTTTCAACACCTACGAACAGAACGGGCCTGGAGAGATGACTGATCTTCGTTCCGCATGTGTAAGTAACGAAAACTTTGCGCAAGTTGCAGTGAAAAACAATCTGCATACCCACCTTCAACGCTCTTCTACAATTCTCGAGACTCAAATAAACGAGTATCTGCTGTCCTTTCCAAAGCCAGATGACACTGGTAGATCAATCCCTACAATACAAGGCCCTAAGGTAAACAACATATACTTGTCCGAGATTTCGGATAACAAACAGAGCAAATAGGTTTGACATGGTTTGTCTGTTTTGGTATAGGCTCTTGGAGACTTGGTGGAGAGTATAGCTGGAGCAATGCTGATCGATACAAGGTTAGATCTCGACCAGGTGTGGAGTGTCTTTGAGCCGTTGCTTTCTCCACTTGTAACTCCGGATAAACTTCAGCTGCCTCCATACCGAGAGCTCAATGAGCTATGCGACTCTCTTGGATATTTCTTCCGGGTGAAATGCGTGAATGATGGTGTGAAGGCACAAGCCACGATCCAGTTGCAGCTGGACGATGTTCTTCTGACCGGAGATGGATCTGAACAGACGAATAAATTAGCTTTGGGAAAAGCAGCTTCACATCTTCTTAAGCAACTTGAGGTATACGTCCTGATTGTTTCCACTTATAGGTGTGTGTCCATTTGCTGAAACTTTTATTTGGTTCTTCAGAAGAGAAACATTTCACGTAAAACTTCGATGGGAGATAATCAAAGCTCCATGGATGTGGATCTTGCTTGCAGTGAAAGACCGTCTTCGGATTCTACCGAGATCCTGAGTGCTGTGACTCTAGGTAAGCTTGCTTGCATGCAAAGTAATTTACCTTGAGGTTATTCTTTTCGTCTTCATTTCATGATTATTTGGTTTTTCAGGTATTGGACCTATAAACATGAAGAAAGGAGGGCCTCGAGGGACACTACACGAGTTCTGCAAGAAGCATCTCTGGCCAATGCCTACTTTTGACACCTCGGAAGAGAAATCTCGGTGAATCCATCACTTTGTGACTCATTTTGTTTTAGGTTCTCTTGAGTCCTGAACCACTCTTTAACCTGATAACTTTCTTGGTGTCATGCATGCACAGAACTGCGTTTGAATTCAATGATGGAGATGAGAAGCGGACTAGCTTCAGTAGATTCACATCGACTATAACCCTGAGGATACCGAATCGGGAGGCTGTGACGTATACGGGAGAAGCCAAGCCTGACAAGAAGGGCTCCTTCGACTCTGCAGTCGTGGAACTGCTCTATGAGCTCGAGCGCCGCAAGATCATCACCATCAGAAAGTAAAATAGTTTCAAATTCTTTAACAAGTTAATACTGTATGATTTACATTTATCGATCTCGAGTAAATCTTGAAATCACCAAAACTTTCGAATGATCTAAACTATCTGATGATTGTTACGCCTTAATGATAAGCTCGTAGACATTACTAGAGTTGAAGCTACTAACACGTTTCAGCATCTCGAAACCTTTCCGGTATCCGAGAAACTCGATCCGTTTGAATGCAGTCTTCCCGCCTTTCATCGCTGCTCGGAGCTTTTCACTGTGCTTCGAGTTAGTGTGAATCGCGGCTTTGATCTCCTCCACGGACATGTTTTCCTGCAAAAATAAATACACCAAAAACACACAAATTACAGTTTCGGTAATGGTTACATGGCATGGCACTCGTATAAATAGATGACGACATTGCACCTGATAAAATGTATAAATGTGCTGGAGAATCTGTTGACAAGTGAAGCCGGTTTCGCTGAAATACGACCTGGAAGAAGGTCCCATCTCACCATACCAATCAATTGGAAGAAGTAACGTTATAAACTGGTTTTTGTATACCATTCCCATTCTCTCACTGTTTCCATGCCCAACACAAATCTGTTAGCAGCTTTACAAACTTCTAAGGATAGATTTGATCTCAAGTTACGGTGATGAAGGAGAAATTGTGAAACCTTTCTGTGAGCGGTCTTGTGGATTGAGTGAATGAATCATCGGTTATAGCATCAAAGAAGGCAGAGACAGAGTTTTTGTTAACATCTTCATTGTCGCTGAAATTATCATCTATGTAAATACTTGCTGTTGAGATTGGCTCGGAGATCCTCCAACAAATGGAATCAAGAAGACTGCTCAGATTTAACGGCTGGATCAGTGTCTTGCCCATCTGTTTGAAGAGCAAGAAACAAGCAGTGCGTTTTAGAGATAGCTTTGGTTGATGACTGTTGAGGATAAAACATATATAAAAAGAGATGCAATGCCTTTGCGTGTCGATTTCTGACAACTTTTTTAGCCGATTCCACAATCTTCATCCTTTCTTTGCTTGTTGTTGTTGTTGTTGTCGACGTCCTCTCTGTTGAATTTGATGCATCTTCAGGAAGACATTTCCTGCTTGTTTCCTGTAAGAAGGCAATATCAAAGGAACTAGAAACTTGACGGATTCACGTCCATGGACAAAAACAACCAGGGGATACCTTGCCAAGATTCTCAAGCATTGTCCTTAGATCTTTTGCCAAATCAGCTGACATTCGGACTAGACTTTGCGTCTGGTTCTCTTCCAATGTCTTCTGAAGCCACAGTGGCTGAAACAGTCGACATGTTACATAAACAACCAAAAGATACTTAATGTGTGGCATGGAGAACGACTTCTCATTAGCTTACTGTAACAAGATGGCTCGAGTGACCAAGATATCTCTCGACAGAAGCAGCTTCACATACAATATGACTTGCATTACTTCCGACGAACCATTGATTCAAGAGCTTAGCACCTCCTTCAACAATCACCTGTGAAACCTGCAAAACATGGAATGTAGGCATGTAGCGTCTATACCATTGATGCACACTACTAAAATCAGACAAGTCCTATTGTGTGTCGATGACTAACTCACCCGGCGTCTTACTTCATCTGAAATATCAGAATCGATGAAAACTGAATAGCCTGACAAAGCCAAGTCCTTGCTTCCTGTGAGCTCTGTTCCTTGAACACCTTTACTCGGCTTTCCGGGATTTTTCACCACGTAGAAAGACTCGCACAGCTTAACTGCAGACAAAATCAAGAACTTGTTTCCAATCGAAGCAAAACATCACTTAACATCCATGGAATCAATCACAGGTTAAAACATACATACTCACCGTTTCTGCGGACGCTGTCTACAAACCAACCAAGAGTAACGACATGCAGACTATCTCTTCTCCCATGTTTTAAAGCATGCTCAAACTTGCGTCCATCGTAGCTGTGAAATTCCATTTTTTTATGTTAAAGAAGTAACAAACGTCACAGAGAAATGTTCATGTCAAAGGATCCAGAGATCACACATTCAATGTTGCTTTGAGATTGAATTTTGAATACAAGAAAATGCAAAGAAAAAAGGATATCTGAACGACCAAATGTGTACAGAGAGAATTCAAAAGAGAGCTGTATTCACCACCAAGCTTCTCTGTAGCTTCTTTCACCTGACTCCTTGCTTCTGCATTCAACAAAATTGATCAAATTCATTTAAACAGATTTGAGATTTCGTCACAAAATTCCGATCATCGGCTATCCATGAAGCTCAAATTCCCGGTTGATTATGGAAATTGGAGCTCAAATTCGATTTCCCGGAAGCAATTGTTCGTTTCGCTAACGCTTCTTCTCGCGGATTAAGAATCAGAAAGTCAAATCATATTCACGGAGAATTCATGAGATAGCAACAATGAGATGTGAAAAAAGTACCTTTAGAGAGACCAGTGACGCAGATGACCAGACCAGAGAAAGGACCGTCTGATCGAACCGGTGGTTGGAACCGGGAAGAGGTGGTGGCCGGAGAATCAGGCTCCGACGCGAGGCTGACATGTTGAGAGGGCGTGAACACGCGCAGCTTCGAGCATCTCTTGCTATCGATCACCTCTGCTCTTCTTAGGACTTCCATTGTTTTCCGATTTCGTGGAGATTCTCAGAGAACCAAGAGAAGAACAAAGTTTGAATCGTGCTGTTCAAGGAAGAAGAAGAAGAAGAGGGAATTCCAAAGTTCTCGAAGACTGTATGAGCGTATTTTCTTGTATTAAAAATAAAAAGAAATTAAATAAAGAAGATTATGAGTATCTGAAGAAAATAAGAGAGGCAAGCATGATCGTCTACGTTAGGAAGGTAATATATTTCATCATTACAATCCGACGACTTCGTTAATATTTCTGTCTTTAATAAATTTATTCACAAATACATAAGTTAATAAATTGAAACTTGAAAATATTAGGAAAAAATATTATCTTTTAAATGAAATTTGTTTTCTGATGATATTCTGATTAGCAGTGAATATGTATCAGATCAATAAAATTGGGTGGACATTTACCTAATTGGAAAAATACATGATCAACTTTGGATATTGAGTAGTGCATGCCACGCAACGAGCCGGTAAAATATGATTTTGATAAGCAATCATGGATGACTAAAAGCCGGTGTCACATTTTAAACATTTTATATGGTAAATGATCTTGTAATATTTAGCCGTAAAACCATAGCTTGAAGTATAAGGATATCAACAACTATGAGATCTATTGTTGAAGATGTGGAGAAGAGAAAGAAATGTTAATCATGTTTTGTTTGAGTGTTTTTCAGCACTACAAGTATAGGCGTTATCAAACATACTATTAGATTCAGAAGCCTTTCTTTCCAAATTGGTGTATACTAATTTAGATTACTTGTTTCGAGAGTACTTGTAAATATAGTGCTGGAGAGAAAAGTTAACTCGTCGTTTTCATGAATTTTTTTGTGTGAATAACAAGATTTTTGATCGGAAACTATCATATATCTTAGATATTTGATAAGATAAACTTTAGCACTGGGTGTAAATGTGTAATCTTCGTTATTTAAAGGAAGAAAAGGTTTATTTTCAAAGTGTAATCCTCGTTATTTCATTGACCGATTTGCTTGATAGTGATGATGTCGCTGTAGGATCGAACACTGCTTTGGCCGTTTGCGTGTTTTAAGGTGTGATCAGGCCAAGTCTATGTCTATGATAGACTATCTATCGAACAAGATTACTGTTAGGGATTAGGAAGCGACTGTTCAAATTGACTTTTGTCATTGATAGTGATCATTGTATTATTGAGAGAACGAGAAACATAATGAAATGGAAAATGGGATTACGTATTATAGATGTGATTTGTCATTTATCTACGTAGACATAAATCGTGTACATCAATACTAAGTTTGAGCTAGTGTAACTATTTTGAAGAACAAAACATCACAGAACTAAACACTTTGCGCTTTGTCAAGTAAATATGAAGAAAATTGGATATTATGCTATGGAGAAAGTTGCATACTGTATAATAATAAAAAAGAGCAACGAGAATAACTAAACACAAACTGTTTCAAATAGACAAAAGCTTTAAAGACAACTAGTCTTGAGATCCAAAAACATAATAATAAGGTTCTTCATCCAAATTAAAAAAAAAAAAAAAAAAAAAAACTCAAGAGCTTCAAAGGCAATTCGCCGACGCCATCATTTGGGTGTACCAATAACGAATTGGTGCATCATTTAACGGTACTGCAGAGACGAGAAAACAAAACTAGAATGAGCAATCACTCAAATGAATGAAAAACTTCGTACAAAATCATGCTAATAATCGTGAATAATTACCTTGATGAAACCAATCTCCTTGGCGTTGCTGCGGAAGCATTGTCTGCAGCAGTTGAGACCATACTTCCTGATCAGACCGTGGGAGTTTCCGCACACACGGCTACATATACACAAGCATACACAATATTAAAAAGTCAGAATTTTCACCGCCAGATATATAACACATAACTTATCTTACACAATCACATAGATCAAAGTAATTTGTGTAAATAAACTCTCATACTCTAGCTAATCTACAAACAAGGATTTTGGTTGTTAACAACAATTTCAGAAACTTGACATCCAAATTTAACACAAGAGCTAATCACACATGTAACAGAAATACAGAGATCAATCATAGAAATAAATCTCTGTCTCGATCTAACAGTATCATGTGACATCCTTGATCCTCCTACATTTCTCCAAAAGAGACTCTATCTAGCCAATAGATGTCTTGTTCTCTTTAGTTTCGAAAACGCAACAACAATCAGCACAAAAAGCCATGTAATTTTGCAATCGAAACTTGACCGTGAGCTATACTATTCACTACAACTCAGCACAAGTCGAATACAAACTACCGGATTATCAATCGAAGCTCATCGGATTCATCAAAAGCTATGAGAAATATTGTCCGGTTTGAACAAGCAAATGGAGATTACATTCGTTCTATACTTGTAAGGAACAAAACACATAAAAAAAAAAAAGGCAAGAGAGGGAGATGATTATTACCAGGTACGGGATCCAGGACCGTACTTCTTGGGGTGAGAGTTCCAAATCGTGTCGTGACCCATTTCGATGTTAGCTCACAAGAGACTACGCCTGAGAGAGATGAAAGGCACGAACGGCGATTGAGAGAATCTCTTAAAAACCCTAGAAATCGTTTCGCTGAGCCGGAGAAGCTGAAGCTTATATAAACGAACAAACCAAATGGGCCATATTCAAATGGTCCATTAGGCCCATTAATGAGCGGATTCGTTATTCAGCTTCTTTTTCTTATAAATCGGGCTATTTGTTTGGCATTGGCAAATAGCAGGAGTGCCATCAAACGTCGTTGCTCAGGATCCTACGAGCGATTAGTCGCACCAATTAATGACTGAGAGTTTAGATCGCAGAAAGTTTCACTTGTGATATTGAATCGTGTTCAAGAGATAGAGTGGGGAGTGGTTATCGTGATTTTCATGAGCCAGTGGAAGAAAAAGGTTTTGAATATCTCGCACACTGTATCTCGTTGCCAGGTGAATACGGTTAAACCAAGGCTAACGGTTATGATTGTAATTTTTTGGAGATACAGATTAATGAAGGTTTAGGGTTAGATACAGTAGAATTGATATTTGTACGGTCAATGTGATTATCGTGTAGAGAATTCACTAAAATTGGTACGTGAAAAATTGAATATAGTAGTAATTAAAACGAAGATAACTTTAATATAATTGCTCCAAAATAGACAAAAAGCGTTAGAGACGAATACAACTATCTGTCTTTTGAGAGGATCCAACAACTTAAGAGAGGTTCTTCATTAAAACAAAAAACTTATAAGAGTTTCAAAGCCAATTCATCAAACGCCATGTATCACAAGCGCATCAATGAAAGTGTTGGGATGCCTCCTCATTTAACGGTACTGCAAAGACGAGAAAAAAAAAAACTAGAATGAGCAATCACACAAATAAAATGAAAATAAATACAAATCATTGTAAATCAAATTACCTTGATGAAACCAATCTCCTTGGCGTTGCTGCGGAAGCACTGCCTGCAGCAGTTGAGGCCATACTTCCTGATCAGTCCGTGTGAGTTTCCGCACACACGGCTACATCATAAGCAAATTACAAAGTCAGAATCTTGACGGCATATAGCTAAAATCATACATAATATAATCTCAGGGAAGACAAAACTCAGACCCTCATTTACAAGCTTATCTTACACGGAACATCAATAAACACATCAAAGCAAGTCTCTCTATCTCTGTCTATAGCTTCAAAGAGACAATAATTTGCAATTTACAACTTCGGAAACTTGGCTACCAACATTAACGCACAGAGCTACTAATAACACATATTTTAGAAACACATAGATCATCCTAGTATTAAATCTCTCTATCTCGTTCGAACAATATCAATACCATTTGCCATCTCTCTTCCTACATTTCTTAAACAAACACTCTCTATCAAGGCAATACAGTTCTATTTAATTTGTCAAATGAAAAATTTACATCAAAGTCTCAAAAAAAACAAACAGCCAAGAATTTATGCAATCAAAACTTGACCAAGAGCAATACTAATTCGCTACAATCAGCACAAGCAAAACAAAGACTACCGGATAATAAATCAAATCTGTTCAGATTCAAAGAAATAATTCCCAATTTGATGAAGAAAAAGGAGATTCAGCTCGTTCTACACTTGTAAGGAACTAAACAAATCAAAAAAAAAAAAAAGGAGAGAGAGGAAGATGAATGATTACCAGGTACGGGATCCAGGGCCGTACTTCTTCGGGTGAGAATTCCAAATCGTGTCGTGACCCATTTCGTTAATACGCCTGAGTGAGAGAGAGGAAACAACGAACGGCGAATGAGAGATAAACTCTTTGAAAACCCTTGAAATTATTTCGTTGAAGGAGACGCCAAACCTAAAAAACTGATAGCTTTTATATACAAACAAAACATATGGGCCAGACTCTTAAGGCCAATTAGGCCCAATAAGCCCTTTAATGATCTGATTCCGTCTTTTTGGTTTTAAACTTGTTTCGTCTCCACAGGTTTATGTTTTTGAGGTCTTGAAGTAAGTTAATTCATGGCCACTCGACCTCTCATCTCTCTGCAATTCCTTGCTTCCTCTTCTCTTTCATCTTCTTCGTTAAACCAAACCCCACAATTTCTCTTCCTTCCTAATTCCACTAAACCCAGAAAAACCCGCAAATGCTCGAGGACAAGTGTTCAATGCTCGTCTAGTCTCATCATCAGTCCTTCCCTTCTCTTCCTAAACGGCTTCGATGGCGGTGGATTCGTCGATACACAGACCTTCATTGTCACTATCAGTCTCGTCGTTGCAATTGCACTCTCTCTTTTCCTCGGCTTCAAGGTGGAAATCAGAATCATCACAATCTCTGCTTTAAGAATTTTCTAATTCGTTGAAATGACAAAATTTTGGTGTGTTTGACATCTTCTAATTTCTTGTTTGTGTTCTTGCAGGGAGATCCAGTTCCATGTGAGAGGTGTGGTGGAAATGGTGAATCTCTTTAATCTTCTTAACAGATATTATTGGTTGATGAATGAAATTCGACTCTTTTGCTCTGTCTCCTTTATCGCATTATAGTTTGTAAATGATTAGACTTTGATCATTCCTTCAAACTTCTTTTTCTGATCGCTTTATTGATTAGTATTAGATCGTGTAACAAGTAGGCTCTTCATCAGTAAAAAGTAAAAACCACTCTTCTCTTGTGCATATTGTTCTATGGAAGTAAGTAATGTTCCAATGGTCTAAACCGCCAAACCGGGGTGGGATTAGTGCGGTTTAGTGTTCTCCTTCTCATTTGTGTCTTTTGTGTTTGTGGGTTTGCGTGTAAAGGCGGAACGAAATGTGTCTTCTGTCAAGAAGGGAAGATGAAAGTGGAATCTGGTATTGTTAACTGCAAAGTCTGCAAAGGATCAGGTACTAAACTAAACCATTTTTGATTTTTTCTTAATCAAATCCATTTTGGTTTATTTGTTTTGACAAGCAGCAATATGAATTAGGTTTTGTTTCTGTCAAAAATTGTAGGTTTGATTTTCTGCAAAAAATGTGGAGGTTCTGGATATTCTCGCCGTTTATAATACCAAAGTCCATGTATATCGAAACATCATTGGGATTGTTTTCGACATTGGTAATTTTGGGGTTATATAATAGATATTCTAACTTGTTTATAGTTAACAAACAAGTGTTAAATGGCATCCACAGTTTTTCCAATTTCACTTGGTTAGATCGGTCACCTTCGACCCAAATACCCACCAAATTTACTCATGCTAGCTAAAATGCCTTATGAGAGAACTTATACTACAAATCGATCTAACATCTTTTAAACATTGTTCGCATAAAAGAAAATTTAGGAATCCCACTCTACTGAAACTTTTTTTTTAAGCAATTGTTGGTTTGGTGCGAAAACATACCCTCATCTCTTATCAGTTCTGAAATTACAAGTCGCAGTTCTAGTGTTACATCACCAAAAGAAGTTCTCACAGAGAACAAGGAATCGAAATTCCCAAGAACTTTAACAAAAATCCCAAGGAGGAGATAAAAAAAAAAAGGTGGATTTTTGCTCCTAAAATAGTAAGCTTTATCGAGATTCTAATATTGATTCTGAAGCAAGAAAATAAAAAAAGTAAAAGAAAAACAAACACAATGAGAAGGAAATTGTTTACGCAAGTGTGCGACCATCCTCGACCATCATCCACCTCTTCTCTCAGATAGTGTTTTCAAAAAATTCATTCTCTAAGAGTACTGTATTTTCTAAAATCAGGGCAAGGAAAAAGCTATGAAATTTGTTTATTCAATCAAAGTTTTACAGGAGCAAAGAAGCTACAACGGTTCAAGCGGCTAAACAATCAGCCACGAAAAATCAGGTCACTTATGGGTTCCGGTACCTTCTTATGCGTAGTCCGCTTCCATTGCACGTAGAATACAAGTAGATAAACAAGAAACCCTAACATGACGATCAAGTAGATGATGATGTAATGTGTTTGGATATTATACTTGAGGTACACCGAAATTCCAAAAGAACAGACCAGAGGCACCGAGATCAAAATATACCACCACGTATATGCTCTACCAACTGGTAAGAGAATAAATGTCAAGGCAATAGCTAAGCCAAAAGCTATTGTATTGAATCCCCAAACGAGCACCATTTCTATTTTATACGCTGTGGTTACATCTTCAACTAGGTAATCATCTTGGCCGCCTTTCTCATATGGTTGGACCACGGTCTCGTAAGTAGCTGTGATCATCAATGCTGCTATTACTAGAAGAGCGTTGCGTGTTCCGTCTGTCATTTCATTCCTATATCGCGAAATTCCAATAGAGCAATATTCACAAAAAGTAACCGGTTTCATGAGGAAAACAGACGCCGTCTTGAGTTCCGACAGAGAAGCCGCGTTCTTACCACCCGCTTTTTGTATTAGGTTTTCCGTATCTCTGTTCATATCAGCTCCATTAGCTCGTAGGACATCAAGGGCTGTCATACCATTTTTGTTCAGGATGTTCCGGTTCAGTGACATGCATTTCAGCAACTCTGCTACTACCTGTATATAGATGTTACACGAAACCATTTATCAGACACCTCTAACAAAAATTAGAGTAGACAAGATGAGAATATGTGAATTTAGTTGGGAGTTTCACTCTACAAAGATGCATGTTTACTAAACTTGTCAGTTCAATACTTTCTATAAAACTATAAATTTTTTTCAGTTTTATAGTTTCTATCTTTTTCTTTTTTTAATTTATTTTAATTTATTTTTAAAAATACACTTTTGCTATTTTGTCTTTAAAAATAAATAAATAACTAAAAAACAAACAAAAATGGATCAGTGAAAATGAGAATATGTGAATTTGATTGGGTACCATCTTTAATATTATTTTTTCATATTTAATATTTCATTTTACTTCATAATCATTTCATCCCATATGTACTTTCAGTACAGTGTGTTTTAATTGCAGACCATTTAAATCTACAAAGAAGGGTAAGTGCATGTGCATGCCTGGTGATTATTATTGTATGCCGCTAAGTGCAAGGCCGTGTTTCCTTCACGATTGCGTTTGTTGAGGACCTGAATCTCTATAGAGGAAGAATCCTTTTTGCGCATTCTTTGGATCCACCCTCTCAGAACTTTGAGCTCGTTGTATCTATCGTTCATAACCGTGATGTGTAAAGCAGTTTCTCCATTTAAAGTCACATCTTTAATGCTCTCAGGAGATACCAGGAGAAACTCGGTAAGAAGATCGACTACACCGTTTTTTATCGCAAGATGCAATGGTGTCATACCTGTCGTTATAAGACAAAACAAAACAAAAGTCAGATCTCTTATCAAACAAACTTATCTTATATGTGTCAGCTATATTTTGTTAATCAATAATCAAGATTCTGAAGCAAAAACCTCCTTTTCCATGAATACGAACAAGATCCGGATCAAACTTGATAAGCGCAAGTGCTAACTCAATTTGGTGGTTCTCGTCAGCGAGATGTAACGGACTAAACCCATCCCCATTTAGTTTCTTGGCAAAAGATGGTTTTAGAATCATCAGCTCCATCGCTAAATATATCTTCCCAGTAGATGAAGCTTCGTGGAGAGGTGTGTGGATAAAAGATAAAACGTCTAATTTGTGAAGAATATATGGATGCTCTTTAATAAGAGAATATAAAGCCTCGACACTACCCGATTGAGTAACCGAAAGCAAATCTGTATGGACCTGATTCATACTTTCAAAGAAAAAGAGAAAAATAATTGGAAGGGACAAGTAAGATGAAAGGAGTCGAAAGCCTTCTCGTTAGTGTATATAGTTTCGTGAGAGTCTTGAGCCTATGGACTCTCTTTTTTCATTTTTTTTTTCATGCCATGAGCATATAGACTCGATTATTATCAACAAATTGGTCAAGTTTCCTTTCTTATTTTTTTTATTTACACCATTAAGTAGAAAACAAGAATATTATTCTAAAAAATATATATATATATATATATATATAAAGTTGAATATGTGCGATGTGAACTTTAGACACATAAAACAAATTCTAATTCACCAGACATATGTGTTATTGTTAATTGATAGACTTTTATTATATAAATTAATTGGGTGTGTGAGACATGAACTACCCGTAGAACAAATTCTAACTATTAGATGTGTCATGCATTATAAGTTTAGATCATGATTATTTACATAAGATAAATTTTGTATAATATGTGCTATATAATTAGTTAATTACAGTTTAAATTTACAAATATTGTCATAATAAATTTAAATCCCATCTGTAAAATCTTATTTTCAAGAAAAAAAAAACATGATACGTAAAACAGTTTACATACTTACATGTGTCAATGTAATATAACGAACAAAAATAGGTATAAAAAAAATTATGATCATTACCAAAAGTCAAATTAATAATAAAATAAGATAAAATAGTTGTCAAGCAACTAATCAAATAATAACTAAGAAAAATAATAGCTTAATTTCTTAATAGTGATTTTCAATAATCCAATTTGATGTCGATTAAATATAATGAATCTCTTATCAAATATAGTAACAATAGTAGACTGTGTTGTGTGAACGTGCATGAGGGAAAAAAGATTGTTTTCACCTTTTATTGCATCGTGGTTTTACATGGTGGTAAGACCCGATTTATAAGCCATCCAAAAATAATTATATAACCAAGTCGGTAAATACATCCGTACGTGAAAGGTAGTGGAATGATAGTATAGAGAATAGTTGTGTATTAGAAATTTGTATCACTTAAAATTATCATTATAACTTATACTAAACCAAAATAATAATTATAAATTATATCGGTGTAAGCTTAAGAGAGTGTTACAAATTGTATCATCTTCTAGGTAACCGATCGGAAAGATAGTAAAATTTGAGCATTTTTTTTATCTTTTCTTAATCAAATCCATTTTTGTTTATGTGTTTTCACAAGCAGTAATTGGGTTTTTGTTTCAGCTAAAATGTAGGTTTGATTTTCCGCAAGAAATGTGGAGGTTCACTGGTTCAGGCAGGATATTCTTGCCGTTTATAATACCAAAGTCCATGTATATCACAACATCACTGGAATTGTTTCCGACATTGGTAATTTTGGACTTTTTTTTTTTTTTTTTTTTTTTGGACAACGGTAATTTTGGACTTACATGATAGATATTCTAACTTGTTTACAAGGAGGAGATTCAAACAACCAAAAAAGTGGATTTTTGCTCCTAAAATTGTAAGCTTTCGAAGACAGTTTTGAATAGATTTAGTGAGGAAAGGCATTTTTGCTAGTTATTCAAGATTATAAAGAGAACAAGGAATTTCAGTTCCCAAGAAGCAGACAGAATACAAAGAGGATTTTTATTCTTGAATTAGTATATGAAAACGAAGAGGATCGCCACAATTAAATGGAACCTACAACTAATTTTAACGAAAAGATTAGGGAAGAAAAACCATATTGATACTACATCCGGTTTAGGTTTCCCTGGTTTGGTTTAGTTACATCCACATTTTGATTATAATCTTAACCGATATGATTTAGTTAATGATTTTGCTTTTTTTTTTTGAAAAAGAAGAGACGCAACGTTCCGATGATTTCAAAATGCAAATCAATCCTGGCCGTTAATCAACACGCTCCCTCCACCCTCCGATCGTAACTTAACTCGTCTTCTTCACATTTCACACTACGTCGCTTTTCTCTCTCTTTCTCTCACTCTCCTTTCCCTCTTCAGACCCCAATTTCAAAATCCTCTCACTCACCCAGTCAGAGATTTCTCACTCTCATCACTCAATCAGATGCCGTTTATCTCCGAGACTGCTAGCGCCATCAAGCGCCGGTTCGGATTCAACGACCGAGCCGCCGCGTCGGAGTCCGTACGCGCTGTGCCGTGCACGCCGGATGCGAGCACCGTCTCGAGGGAGAGCCACACTCATCATCAGTCTCAGGTTGTCTCTTCCGCGGTTCGAAGAATGCCTGATTTGGACGAAGATGGAGATATTTACGGTGGATCTGCTCAGATATCGAGGTCTCAGAGCTTCGAGTTTAACGAGGATCCGGCCTTCTGGAAAGATCACAATGTTCAGGTCCGATTTTTCTTCTCTTTATCTTTTGGTATGAGTTTTCTTCTCTGGGTTCCTTAGTAGATTTAATTTTGTCGAGCTTCTCTGTGTGTTCATGATTCTAATTTGAGAACAATTGGAATCTGGGTACTCTACAAAATCATAGTTTTGTTGATTTTACAGAATAAGAAAACTAAGTTTATCCCCATTGTTATCTTTTGGTATGAGTTTCCTTCTCTGGGTTTTTGATTTCGTGGAGCTTCTGAGTGTTTTATGATTCAATTTAAGAACAATAAGAATCTGCATACTCTACGAAGTCATAGTTTTGTTGATCATTACAGAATAAGCAAACTAAGTTTATCCCCATCTTTATTGGAATGTTGAAATTAGGTTATCATAAGAACCCGTCCACTTAGCAGCTCGGAGATTTCTACACAAGGGAACAACAAATGCGTTAGGCAAGACAATGGCCAGGCAATTACTTGGATTGGGAATCCAGAGTCTCGTTTCACATTTGATCTCGTTGCTGATGAGAATGTTACCCAGGTAACTGCCTTTTGTTCCACCGCACTCCTTTGCATTCTTTCAAGGTCATGACAGTTCTTGAGAATCTCTTTGCTTTTCAATTTTTTCCCTTGCAGGAGATGATGTTTAAAGTGGCTGGAGTGCCTATGGTGGAGAATGTCGTAGCTGGTTACAACAGTTGTATGTTTGCCTATGGCCAGGTGAGCTTTACTCTTTCTCTTGCTGTGAGTTTTATCTGCATATACTTCAAGGATTTCCAGCTTAAATTCTTAATTTGCAGACTGGAAGTGGGAAAACTCACACTATGCTTGGTGATATCGAGGGAGGAACACGAAGACATAGTGTCAACTGTGGGATGACACCGAGAGTTTTTGAGTATCTGTTTTCAAGTATCCAAAAGGTTTGGTGCCTTAAGTCTTTCTGTAGGCATATGTTTTTGCTGTGAAATGTTGTGTGCTAACTTGCTCTTATCTGTCATTTCTGCACCAGGAAAAAGAGGTCCGCAAAGAGGAGAAGCTACACTTTACTTGTAGATGCTCATTTCTGGAGATATACAACGAGCAAATCCTTGATTTGTTAGATCCATCTTCTTGTAATTTACAGGTATACATACCAAATGCAGAGATATCGAAACATGTGATCTGAATGTTGTCTTTTGTTTGGGATTTTCTAAACCATTCTTAACTTCTTCTTTCGCAGCTAAGAGAAGACCACAAGAAAGGTATTCATGTTGAGAATCTAAAGGAGATTGAGGTTTCAAGCGCCAGAGATGTGATTCAACAACTAGTGCAGGTAATTAATTTCGCTTTTCCATCCTCATATAGATCGCAGACTTTGTAACTTTTTTTGGATTAGGTGCACAAGCTTGATGACTCTACTTTCTTGAACTTGAACTTCCATCTTCTCTTTTGCTTTTATGATCCATATTCAGGAAAATAGTGCAAGAATTAGTTGACAACTTGCCCATTTCTTCTCAGAATAGTTTTCATATGCAACTTTTACAATGCATGTCGGTTTATGTGTAGGGTGCTGCAAACAGGAAAGTAGCTGCAACTAACATGAATCGTGCAAGTAGTAGATCCCACAGTGTGTTTACATGCATCATTGAAAGCAAGGTAATCAAATGTAACTTGACTTGTTGAAGAGTGTTCCTGGGCCGTATCTTTTGTTTTGCGTATATGTTATAAATTTTCTCAGATGATAATAACGGACTTGTGTTTTCTATCAGTGGGTATCTCAAGGTGTAACTCATCATCGGTTTGCACGGCTTAATCTTGTTGATTTAGCTGGATCTGAAAGGTATCAACTATAAACTTCTAGAAATGGACTACACTTTCTTTGCTTGTTTAAAGATATTTTGCTAACATCTGTTTTACAGGCAAAAAAGTTCAGGAGCTGAAGGTGAACGGCTCAAAGAAGCAACAAACATCAACAAATCTCTTTCGACATTAGGGTAAGATAACATTTTTGCACAAGTGTCAAATATTCTAGCTTTGTCTTCTTATTTATATAGCTGTAAGCCTGTAATGATTTGGACTTTATTGACTTTTCAGGCTTGTGATCATGAATCTTGTCAGCGTTTCCAATGGAAAATCAGTCCATGTTCCTTATCGAGATTCAAAGCTCACATTTCTGCTTCAGGTAAAACCTTCTTAAATGATTAGAACTCAACATGATTAATTAAGCATGTGGCACATCTTGGATTTCTGTATTATGGTTCTCACATCTAATGCAATGATCATTGACTCACCTGTACATATTTCTTTAGGACTCTCTTGGAGGGAATTCAAAGACGATCATAATTGCTAACATTAGCCCATCTACCAGGTACATTGATACTCTGTGTCTGTTTATCATTCCATGATCTTTCTCCCTGTAATATTCGTTGTACTGTATCTCATTGTCTTTGGTATGCACAGTTGCTCACTGGAGACTCTAAGTACCTTGAAGTTTGCACAGCGTGCCAAGCTTATTAAGAACAATGTAATGAAATTATTCCCTGGCATTGTTTCTAAAGTAATGGATCTGATATTGTGCACAAGTTTAGTTATATTAATAATATTATGCACAACAGGCAATTGTCAACGAAGATGCATCTGGAGATGTTATTGCTATGCGGCTACAAATTCAACAGCTCAAGGTAGATTTATCAGCAAAGACTGTTTTCTCTTTCTCTCCCGCGGACTTGTTCTGAAGTGTTGTAAATCATATTCTACAGAAAGAAGTATCTCGCTTAAGAGGAATTGTTAACGTTGGAGTAGACAATCAGGACATTGACACTTTCTCAATGGGTTGTCCTCCTTCTCCAATGTCTCTCAAGTGGGATGGATTCAATGGATCATTCACTCCTATGACAACTCACAAAAGGATGTCTAAGGTTTGAAACTTCTTTCTCTAAGCTAAAATAATGCTTTTTTATTAGGAATTTGATCTTCATTGTTCAGCATTTTTGCATGTTCTTAACACTTTCGCTTGTATGGCTTTGTAGCCAAAAGACTACGAAGTTGCACTTGTTGGTGCCTTCAGGAGAGAGAGGGAAAAGGACGCTGCTTTACAGGCTTTGGCTGCTGAAAATGAAGCTTCAATGAAGTTGGTACGTTTGAAATATAGATACTCACTGTAGAAAGTCAGATGATAAGTGAAGATTGAATGATGATATTCTCTCTTTCATAATTTTATTTCTTCAAACAGGAAAAGAAAAGAGAGGACGAAATACGAGGACTGAAAATGATGTTAAAGCTCCGAGATTCAGCAATCAAGAGTTTACAAGGTGTAGCTTCAGGAAAGATCTCTGTTGAAGCACATCTGCAGAAAGAAAAGACTGACCTTTTGAAGGAGATTGAGGTGCTACGTGCTCAGGTTGACAGAAATCAAGAAGTTACCAAATTCGCCACAGAGAATTTGCGACTGAAAGAAGAGATCCGAAGGCAAGACTCTTTGAAAATTCTCTTATTATCCCTCAGAAATACATGTCATTTCTATTTCTGTTAACTTTAGCTTGCTACACAGATTGAAATCACAATCCGAGGATGGTGAACGGGATATCATGAATCAACAACAGATTCAAGTGTTACAAGCTAAGGTGAATAATACATCCTGTAATTTCAAGACCTCAGAAGTTTGCTTACGATTTGAACTAAACATTTTACTTGGATTTATGTAACAGCTGCTAGAAGCTCTTGATTGGAAACTCATGCACGAATCAGACTACTCCACGGTGAAGGAAGATGGAAATATCAGCAACATGTTCTGCTCAAACCAGGTATTGCTTGATTGTCATTCATCTGTGCTGAGAGTGCTTCACAAAGTCTGTTATTTTCTGGCAGCACAAATCAGTTGTTTCTACGTTTTGACAACTGTTTGTTGCTTTCTGCAGAATCAGGAATCAAAGAAACTTTCAGCGATCCAAGATGAGAACGAATTCCTCCGGATGCAGGTTATTTCTTGCCTTGAGTATATTCAGTCGAGATCTATGTGACGTCTTTATTCATAACATGATATCTCTAACTTGTTGCTTGTTATTGAAATCTGAAGGCTATTCAAAACCGAGCAGAAATGGAATCTCTTCAGAAATCAATAAGTTTCTCCATTGACGAGAAAGAGAGACTGGAGAAGTAATTTACTGCTAAGAATATATATATTACAGTTTCAGGCTGAATCATTAAGCCTCAGCTCATCATCTCTATGGATTTTCTCTTTCAGGCTTGTGGACAGTTTGGCTAAGCAGCTCGAAGGGTTAAGATCCTCAGGCGTTGTTGGCGATGATGATCAGATGGAGGTTAAAACAATGGTTCAAGCCATCGCCTGTGCTAGTCAAAGAGAAGCTGAAGCTCACGAGACAGCTACGAAGCTGTCGAAAGAAAATGATGAACTGTGCCAGAAAATAAAGGTTCTGATTGAAGACAACAACAAACTTATAGAGCTGTATGAACAAGTATCCGCGGAAACCAGTTCCAGAGATGCTTTGAGGAACACCGAGACAGATGCGTCAAGTAATATCGCCGAAGCTCAGAACAACAGTGCTGAAATTGCTCTGGAGGTCGAGAAAAGTGCTGCTGAGGAACTGAAGAAAATGATTGGAAACTTGGAGAATCAGCTAAGCGAGATGCACGAAGAGAACGAGAAGCTGATGAGTCTTTATGAAAACGCCATGAAGGAGAAAGATGAGTTCAAAAGACTTCTCTCTTCTCCTGTCCAAGAGAAGCTTATTGAAGCTGATGTTGTTGATGATGCCAGTGACACTGAAATGGAGATCTGCAACGTTTCTTCTGATACATCCACAGAAGATTTAAACGCTGCGAGGCTGAAACTCGAATTGGCGCAGGAAAAGCTTTCAGTCTCTGCCAAAACCATAGGAGTGTTCTCTTCGCTTGAAGAGAATACTTTAGACATCATCAAGCTCTCAAAGCAAAGCAAAGAAGCCGAAGATAGAGTCAAGGAGCAACAGAAGGAGCTTCGAGCAATCGAAACCGTCTCTGATCAAACTGATGCAAGAAAAGAAGTTGCAGAGAAAAAGCTAGCCGCTCTCAAATGCTCGTTATCGAACTTTGTATCATCTGCAGCGTACTTTCAACAGCGAGAAGAACGTGCAAGCGCGCGTGTGAACGCATCTTCCGATCATCTAAACAAGAAAAACCAAGAGCTCGAAGTTCTCTCTTCTGACAAAAGAGAAATCGACGCTGCTATGGGTAAGATTCAGCAATCCGAGGCAGAGCTGAAGAGTAACATTGTAATGCTGAAAATAAAAGTTGACGAAGAGAACAGGAGACACGAGGAAGAGAAAGTTCTTTGTTCGATTGATAACATTGAGAAGATCAACACACCTCAGAGGAACATTCTTCTTACTGGGAAAGCCACAGATCTGCTGAAATCCGAGGAAGAGAAGACAAAACTCCAGTCTGAGATGAAGCTTTCTCGGGAGAAGCTTGCTTCCGTTAGAAAAGAAATCGATGACATGAGCAAGAAGTCGTTGAAGCTTGAGAAAGAGATCAAAACCGTGGAAGCAGAGATAGAGAAGAGATCAAAGACGAGATCCGAGTCAGAGATGGAACTGAAGAGCACAGTCCAAGAGAAGCAAACTCTTGAGGAGATGGAAGAAGAAGGGATGTCTGAAATACAGAACATGATCGTCGAGATTCACCAGCTTGTGTTTGAGTCAGATCTGAGAAAAGAAGAGGCGGTGGCTGTGAGAGAAGAGCTCGATGCAGAGGAGCTTAGAGCGAAAGAAATGCACAAGGCTACGGTGGAGACAGTCGAAAACGCGTTGAAGACGCTGGAGAAGGAAAAGGATGGAAACTTTTTGTTATCAGGAAAGATTGAAGAAGAAGTAGAAAGTGTTTTGGGTTTGGTTCACGAGGCCGCGAGGTTGCTTGAAGTTTCTCATTGATATGAGATTGTCTCTTGTCTCGCACGTTAGGGGCTCTTGTGTTGTGTTGTGTATGAAAATTGTAAGACATTTCCTCTTAATTTGGAATCGAGGAAGTACATCACTTCCTTTTCTTCGGAAATTCATGTTCTACTTCTTAATTTGTCTATTTTGTTCTGCAGTCGTGTCTAAATGTTCTCCTACTTTAAAGTGCAAATGAACAAGTATGAAGGAGCTCTAGAACTCTGTTAAGAACCATGTTACTCTTCATATTTTAGAAATGTTGATGATTCTTCATATTTCCATAAACCCTGAATCTGAAATGGCTTTACTGTTGGAAACCAAGTTTTGTCCTCTGTTGCTTCCGGGTTTTAAAACAGACACAGATAGGATCTTATTGGGGTTTAGAGTTTTTTTGTAACTCATTATGCAGATATAAGTACAGAGCCTCAAAAGAGCAACTTTATTTGAGTGACACTGACACCACACAAGTATACAAGAGAGAGTTCACAAAGACGCAAACTTAAATAACGGAGACCGTGGAAAAAAACGTGATCTTGAATTGGAAGCTGATGCACGCAAGTCTCCCGCCATTCTTGTCCTTAATGGTCATCTTAAGCGTGTAAGTGCCCTGTTTCAAAGAAGATGAGGGCTGATTATGATGGGAAACTGAGTGTAAAAGACAAATAAGAGTGTTGTGAAATCTTACAGGTGGTGTGATTGAAGGCAATGTTTGGGAATGAGAAAGGACAAAGGTTCCTGGTGAGATTGGGCAGGCCGTCTCATCGCAGAGGTCATGAGTTTCGCTATGGATGTGAATTCCAAAGAGTGAAACACTGATCACCACTTTTCCTCCAGAGATTTCTTCAGCTATTCACACCAGGAATGTTAGTCTGCTCTAAATTCTTAGTCACAAAGTAGAAAAGATCACAAAAAGGAATTAATTACCAGTGGAACCCGAAATGTTAAATGTAGCCACTTTGCCACTCACAACCGGATCAGGAGAGATCGCAACACCCTTGACCTTAACGGGATCGAGCTTCTTATCTACAACAGAGAAGCAAGAGTTTCCAAAACTAGCATTAGACTGAACAGTACAAGAGCAAAATCCAGTTCGTAACAAATAAAGTAAGAGTTTCCAAAATTAGCATTAAACTGAACAGTACAAGAGTAAAAAGTTCATAATAACAAATAAAGTAAGAGACCAGTGTCATGCCAATGAATAGAGAAGATGTGTCACTGATATAGAAACATGTCCACAAAAGAAATACTTTATGCAATTTGTTGACCTCTCTCATTCTTGGCAAGAAATTGTTCAAAGTGAATCAAACAGAAAGCGTCTCTCTTCCGTAATAGCATAATCAAGAACAGAGAACAATTGCATTTAGTATATCTACATGACAACAACAAAAAAAAAAAAAAAAAAAAAAAAAAAAAAAAAAAATCCCTCTTTTTGATGATAGGGTAAACAAAGCTTTCTACAAAAAAAACAAATTAACCTCCACAAAATTGATTAATCTACACATTACATGCTTCAAGTGTCAAACTTTCTTAAAAACCAAAAATTGTATTTCTTGCAAGATTTATACCCTCAATCTGGAAGCAGCAATTAGTCATAGATAATCTCTAATTAACAAAAAAAAAAATCAAGGTTAAAAGATGCAAAAGTTTATGATACGACTGGATTTGTTCAAGCAACCATCAGAAAAACCCCAAATCTTACAGGTGTCCTCAAGAAGAGAGAGTTAGGAACAAACCGCAGTAGTGGAAAGAAGTGGCGCGCAAAGTAGGTAAGAGGAAGATTGATAAGAAGAGAAGAAGCAGAGGATGAGCTTCAGATATCGCCATGGATGAGTGATTGTTGATCAAAGAAGGACAAGTAATTGGGAATTGATGAAATTGAAATGGAAAATTTTGACAAAACTAAAAAGCTGTGGTAAAGGAATCCAACGGTTTCTGAATACGCCGAACCATCCAACGGTTCCAAATTAAAACATGCGGAAAATGATATCTATTTTCAGAAAATGAAATAATCAATGCTGTTAGTTGATAGTTTGTTCAGCCAGCGGATAGCTTTATCGAATTTGGTCTTTTATCTCATTTCGTTTTGACTTGGTCAACTCTTGTGTGATTAAGGTTCCATAGGAAACTGTATTTTAATTGACTGTTTTCAATATGTACTTGTTAGCTGCATGTAATGCTGCCATTTTGGTATTGTGGAATGCATTTAGTTACATATAATAGTCTTCTTGGTTTTGATTGCTCATCTGTTTGATTGGAAAATGCTTATGCATAAGGATTATGTAGTATACCATTGATGCTCTAACACAAGGGTGTGAATAAATTATCTTATTACTTTTTATAAAATTGCTGAAACATACAAATTCACACAAAAATTAAGAAGAAAAAGTACCCGCACATATAAGCGGGGTCTTTGGCCTAGAACACTTAAAATAAGCATAAGGAAGAAGCAAATGTAGGTCAAAGTCTCCCTCCTCACTGCTGGGCACATTGCACCCTCTGAGCGCCTCCAGGATGGTCATCATCATCTTCGTCATCATCATAAGCCTCTCTCTGAGCTTGTGCCTTCCTTCTCATCTCATCTTCAATGTTGTTGACATCGTGCAGCGTAGCCTCCTCGCACTCATCAATCTCCATGTCGCTCAGCTGACTTGTCGAAGGCTTTGGGAGAACAGCTTCGACTGCTTTGGTCTGGTCAGGGCTCAGCGAGTCAGGGAACTCCACCGTGAAGTGGATGTAGAGCTTGCCCTTCATGAACGGCCTCTGGTATATCGGCATCCCTTCATCGCTTATTGCCTTGTATGAATCTAACAAACACACACCAAAGCTATGAGTAATCATAAGAGAAGAGAGAAACAGTTTGATGCATTGAGTCTGAATAAATACGTACCAGGTTTCACCACCTCGCCAGGATTAGATTTGATGAGAAGATTTCTGCCATCCAAGTGAGTCAGGACAAATTGGAAGCCACAGAGAGCTTCGGTTAAAGAGATTGTGTGCTCCACGAAGAGATCTTCTCCCTTTCTCTTGAACTTTGGATGCTCTTTCTGCTGAAGGACGAACACTATATCTCCAGTGACCGTGTCAGGCTGCTCCAACACACAAAACACAAACATTCACAAAAAGGTCGAGAGAAAGAAACAACACAGTAAGTCGAAGGTTAATGTCTACTTACCGCTTCATCTGCTTGTCCTTCGAATGTGATCTTCTGACTGTGTTGCATTCCCTTCTCCACGTTCACTTCAAGCACCTTCTTCTCTGGGATAACCTTGTCTCCTTTGCATTGAGGACACCTGTCCTTGTCGTTGATGGTCTCACCCGTGCCTTTGCATTCGTTACAAGCATGCTGCATCTGCTGAATCATTCCAGGTCCCAGCTGCCTTATTGTCACCTTCATACCTGTACCTTGACACCCACCACATGTCAGGGACGCTCCAGATTTCGAACCCTTTCTGCAATAACAAACCCCCAAATAAACCACAAATTAAGAACCTTTTTAGCATTTGGAGTCCCAAAACATAAAGAACATTTTATCAAACTTAAGCCACTTCACATATTGTTATAAACTTGGAACAGATATGGCTAAAACATACACAGAGAGCGAAGTAAAATCTACTAACCCGTTACACTTTGAGCAGAGAGCATTCCTTTTAAGTGAGAGCTTCTTCGTTGTTCCAAGGTACAAGTCCTCGAGAGAAACCTTCAAGGGATGAACAACATCTTCACCACGCCTCTGCCTCCTTCCACGGCTAGGACCACCTATTCAACAACAAAAAGATCCATATGATTCCAATTGTATTATGAGATTCAAATCAGAGACTAGGGAATGTCCAAGAGAGAGACTCACCTCCAAACGGGCTCCCACCATGACCGAAGAAGGAAGAGAAGATGTCGAATGGGTCATGCCCACCTCCTCCATTACCCATTCCTTCCTTGAGTGCGTCCTCTCCATACTGGTCATATATCTCTCTCTTTTCCGGGTCACTAAGAACTTCATAAGCTTGAGCTAGCTCCTTGAACTGCAATCAAGATCATCATTCACACTATACAATTAGTCATACGCTTTCCAAAAACTTCACAAAGTAACACACTTTAAACCCCACAATTGTCACAAGGAAGAAAGCTGAATCCTTTATAGTCTATATACAACTTCAAACAGTCTAAACCTGCGAGAAATTTTCACACTTTCAATTCCTAAAGAGCTTTGAAGCAACAAAGCTTAAGACTTTCTTCACATGATAACAAAACATCGCAATTCCGTACATAAAGTTTTTTAATGTGAACCCAGAACTCATACTTTTCAGATCGGATCAAAGTTTTGAGAGCTCAATCAATCGGAAATTTCGCAATCAAACTAAAAAAATCTAAGTAAAGCCAGAATCGAAGCGGAAAGAGATGTTCACCTTCTCAGGATCTCCACCTTTATCGGGATGGTTCTTGATGGCGGCTTTTTTGTAAGCCTTCTTGAGATCTTCAGGAGATGCGGTTTTGGGAACGCCTAAGATCTCGTAGAACTTGGTGTTGTCGCTCTTCTTCGAGGGTCCTCGACCAAACATCTTTTCACCGTTGTTATGGAAACTCTAGAAATCAGAGAGAAAGAGAAAAGGGCTTCTCTTTCGATGGCGATGCAAGGGAGACGAAGATGTAATTTGTATGCTGTGTGTCGTTGTGTGGAAGACTCTTTGCTTTTATTGAGTTTTTGGTTTTGTGGAGTGGAAGGCTCTAGAACCTTTTATTACTTTCTTTTTCCTTTTTCTCTTAAAACTATTTTTACTATTTCTTTTCCAACAAGAAAGAGCTCATATTAGACGAAAATAATTAAATAATTTTTTTGTTTGACAATTTTTAAAATAATATAAAATGGGAAATATATGTTTCCACCATTTTTTTTTTTCTATTTAACATCTATACAATTCCATCATATTGTAAAATATCTCGTTGGAACAATAACCTGTAACATAATAAACTTGATGCCAATACAACGTGACAGTAAAATAACGTAGATGATTTTACATTCGTGAAATTACCTAAATAAATACATGATTTCCAGCAATCTACATCTCCATAGTCCATACGATGTCAATCTTTGTAAACGTTTTAGAAATTTTAATAAACAGTGTTGGAATTACTTAGTAAAATATGTGGGTAACATTGAATACGAACAATTTTAGTGTTGTGTTACATTTTTCTTTTATCTTTAAAACAAGTTTGATTTATCGTTGTATTATAACGTGAAAACAAATGTATGTGCATGATTTCTTAGGCACATGGATTCGTTCAAATTTGCGGATAGCAACCATTTAACAAAGCGAACAATAGGAAGTTAGGCAATAATTCTTATATAGATTTTAGGCAAGAATTTAAAAAGCACTATGATAAATAGGATGTTACAGTGTATATGGTTAAATCATGATAGAATCATACAACGCAGCACAGTGACAGCAATATAACGATAGTGTTGAGGATATATGTTTTGGTCGTGATGTTCAGAAATTGCAAGAATTGGCTCTTAATCTAAAGCTACTAGTGAGAAGTACAAGCCTTGATAAAGTAATCATAGGACACACACAGACCAACAGTCTTAAAGGAACGTGTCAAGCCATCACTCTTCAAGTTCAAGATGTTTTAATAACTGAGGATCATCTTCTTTTCGACTTGAGCTAGTCTGATTTTGATGTAGTTTTGGGACACAAATGGCTCTCAAAACCTGTAGAAACATGATGGATAAAATGGAAGGAGAAGACTATGCCCTTCCATCAAGAGACTAGTTCGGTCACTATTAGTGGCAAAATGGGAAACTGGACACATACACTATTACTCGCAAGATTGTAGTGACAACAGGACACATACACTTTGTTGATGGTTGTTTTGTAGTTAATGTAAGTTTTGGTCACTGTAAAGAATTTCAAAACAGTAAATTTGGAAAGGTATATTTTAAATTTGAAAGCTCCTCTAACGAAAAGATAACTTTTTTCTCCTTAAAAAAAGAGACAACTTTTGGAAATTTCTCAGTCCAAAGTGTAACCAAAGCCGTGGAAAACGACGAAAGTGAACGTGAAAGCCACATAACTCTCAAGCCATTCCCATTCCCATTCCCAAATCCCAAACGAATTCTCCCAAAAATGTGCGTTCCCGAAACCCTAACGCTCCTCGTCGTGGCTCTAACCGTCTCCGCCGGATTCCACAGAGCCGTTGCCTTTGGCGGAAACGGAGGTGGAAACACCAATAATGTCTACTCGCCGTGCTCCGACACCAGAATCCAAAGATCCGACGGATTCACATTCGGAATCGCATTCTCTTCGCGTCCTTCTTTCTTCCTCAACCAAACGATTCTTCTCTCTCCCTGCGACCGCCGACTTACCCTCGCCGCCATGAATTCTCAACTCTCTGTCTTCCGTCCTAAGATCGACGAGATCTCTCTCCTCTCTGTCAACACCTCCGCTTTCTTCCCGGTATTACTAAGATTCTTCTCCATCAAGTCTGATTCCGGTCAAATCTAGTCAATTACACTAATTTGGATTAGATTATTCAATTACATTTAGAAACATTGTTTAATCATCTCTTCATGGTGTAGTACTTTGGCTTCCTGAATATGTGACTAATTACTTTATGTCTACTAATAATCATCAGGTCGAATAGTTTTTTTTTAATGTGATTACAAATTCAACCATGAATCTTTCTAATCTAGGCAAAGAGGAAAACTACAGTTTCCATGTTCAATCATATTATGAAAATGGGATTACAGTATGTACAATACTTGAAACTTGCATTTTCCAAAATTAGATAGTGTATGAATGGAATAAGAAATTTGGTAATGTCAAAATGTCAGTTTTATGAAAAATGTTAATCAGATTTTCGTTTTATGGGATTACAAAATCAACAATAAGCCATGTTATGAAAATGGAATTGAATTGGTAGTAAAATTCAAAGTTAGATTTTCAGATTACGAAGTTTGGTAATGTCAAAATGTTACCTTGAGAACATTTTGGCAAGTTTCATAACAATGTTTTACTTTTGGTTGCATAATAAACTCTTCAGGACAACTATGGTGGATACATGGTGGCATTTGCTGGCCGGAAATACGCAGCGAGGTCTCCTCCGGCGTTTATCGCTAACACAACCTTCATCGTCACCAGTTTTACTTTGGTAAAGCCATTTTAAGATATACATCACACACCTGACTAAAAATCTGATCATGTAGATTCCTTAAGAGCTCTTACAATATGGTGGTGTTTTGTTTGTATCTGTTAAGGTGATGGAGTTTCAGAAAGGTAGGCTTCAAAACCTATACTGGAAGAGAGACGGTTGTGCGTCGTGCAAAGGGAATCCGAATTTCGTGTGCCTCAACAAGCAAGACTGTGCTATCAGAACACCGAGCTGCAAAGGCCGGGGAGGTACAGTAGACTGCAGTCTCGGGATCCAGCTTGCGTTCTCCGGCACTGACAAACACTTGGCGGTTCTCAACTCGTGGTATGAAGTCGAGAACCTTAAGCAGTATTCTCTCTACGGTCTGTATTCAAACCTCAAGAGCTCGCTTACCAGTCAGTTCAACAATTTCTTTTGAGCTTTCTTTAAACTCGTGGTATGATGTCTACTGTTTGTTTGTTTGTAACACGTAGTAGGTAACTATCTTTGGTGACTTCTCTAATGTTCTTATGAAATGTAACACCAAATTTGCAGAAATGGTACAAACCGGAATGTCCCTATTCCGGGCAAATCTGGTTTGCTTCGTCGACTTGTTTTAATGGCCACTGATATTCAGAGTTACATATCAATCTTTTTATGTTTCTGTTTAATCTTCAAAAGCCAAACCGAAACCCAAATCACTGTGTTCTGCAACTTTAAGCTCGAGCAAGATTTGGAAAAACAATAGATACATTATTCTTTAACTCAATAAAATCAAATGTGTGTTTTCTCCAAGAAACATCACAGCTTAGAGACAAAACTCTGGCAGCTGCATATACCAAAACACTATAACCTTTTTTGTGTTCTGTGCAAATTACATGATTCCTTTGACGACACTTTCTTTTCTCTCCTCAAGATCTCTGTCAATTTTTTTTTAACAGCATCTCCTTGGGATGTGTTTGCTTGCTTCATCTTGTGGCGATTCTGGACTCACCGGAAGCACAAATATATATCCGTGAATCAAGATGATGAATATGTGCTTTTCTTGGTTGCTTTGTATTCTATTTGGCTATGTGGATGAAGCAAGGTTGGTGACACCAAAGTAAAGAGTCTTCTGGTTAAAAGCATTTATGGCATAATCAACCTGAAGGTGACCCAACGGAGACTTGAACCGTAGTCCATACCCGAATCCATATCCAAACCCTGGCTTCCCCTGTCTCAGAGACGGGTTTCCTGAAACCAAATCCACAACAGCTTAATCAAATTTGTGTTCATACAACTTCTCTATAGTTCTTGTTCAGATCAGGCGAAGTGAGCTTACCGGGGACTAAGCGGCTTGAGCCTAAGTCTGTTCCACAATCCAAGAAGATTGTCCCTTCTGTCATCTTGTTCTGTAAACAAAAAGGGAACCATAACTCAGTCAAAGCTTTAACAGGGAATGATTGTGAAGATTGAGTCAGGCAATGGCTTCAAGTACCAAAGGCAAGGCCAATTCTGTATTAGCAACAAGGCATGACCGGCCGGATCCAACAGCTCCTTCACCATATCCCCGGACACTTCCAAGCCCACCAATGGCAAATGCTTGATAAGGAGCCATGTCTCCTACAATTGAACCACCTGTCAGGCTGGCACACAAGAGGTAGGTAAGAGCCACGCCAAAAACTCGAATGTCGTTATAAAGCTCTCTCCTACTTGAACTTGTCTACACAGAGAGTGTCATTACCTTGCTAAGAGAAAAGCCGGTCCCAACCTTGCACCTTTTGATGCAACAAATTTGAAACGGTTGAAGATAAGCCACTTGGACACAACAGGAATACCTTGCTCTATTTGCAAGCTAAACTGGAAAAAGAAAAGCAAGAAACCAGTGTGAAAATGGCTACGGTGTTTCGCTAGGAGGAATCTGAAACCAGAAATGAAGAGCTTCTTACATGAGAAAGACCCTGATCGTTAGCCTTTGCAAACTTAGATTCTTGCTTTAAAACTACCATACTGTCATGTGTATTTCCACTGTATAGCAAAGATTTCTACGCGATGTAAATATCAGTTTTACGCCAGAGCTTAAAGAAACATATCTCAAGGCAAGAGATATCATCTAATATCACCTGCAAGTTATAGGAAATCCGTCTAGATCTCTTGTTATTGAGCGCCCTTCATCGTTTATAGGACGCACATGCTATGATCAAATGGAAAATATTAATCTTTTACTCCAAAGTAGAGAGAACAACACCACTTGTTTTTACAGTCTTAAGAAGGTACCTCGAACTTAACGCTGGTTGTGCTGCTCCACTTTGAACTCGCTGGCTCACTCAAGTCTAAACCAACTGCCAATTTAGACAGATTTACACCTCCGCTCCCTGACCGAGAAAAATTGTCGAATGGAGTTCCGTGGACTCCTATCTCGGGTGAAAGAGAATGCTGTGCCAGATTTAGAAATTATTTAAGGAAAATTCATTTTCTAAGATAGTAGTGTTCAAGATCAAGAACACAAGCCAGACAAATTTTAGTATATTATATCCAAACTGATTAATGTTTTATTGTGAACCTGAATGAAGAAGCACTGTTGGGGACGCCATTCAGGCCTAGGTCTCCTAAAAGCCACAAGTACATTGGAATCATACAGCCCTTTATCCCACGATACGTCAAGCTTCTCGCTACCTCCAAACAAATTAGGATGTTTGATGCACAGGCTGCAACAAACAGATCCAAAATGAACAGTTCAATCGAAAACGAAAAGATATTTATCCATTTCAGCTCCGCATAAGTATGTATTCAGAACGTAAGTTAAGTCATGGAACTTGCCTGCCAATCACTAGAGAAAGAGGACTGCTACTGTCCCTGTGAAAACAGCAACAAACTCTACTTTAATATCGTTGGACGAAGATAAAGATGATACATTTTCACTGAGTATCGATTGTATTCGAGTAAATTTTGAAGATAAGATAATGGGAGTAAACCTGAAAGCAGGAAACATTAAAGAAGTGCAAAGCTTGTGAGTGAAGTCCACATTGACATCAATCTTGGCTGCAATCAACAAAACAAGAAATTCACAATCCAACCATCAACTACCGGAATAACAAAATTACAAAAATCGACTCTTTTTGCTCAAAAACAATAAAATCTTAACCTCTACCTAACATTCAAAAGCAAGACTTATCTCAGACAATAATAAGTAATAAATGTTCTCATAAAAAAATGTCACATTTACAAAAAAAAACAATATATCCTCATGTCTACAACATTCTAATTCACAAATTACCATATACACAAGTCCAAACACAAACACAGAATCATATCTACACATCGGAAAATGAAGATTGATCACAGAAGTGACATGGAAACACAAATTTTGTCCCTCTATCAATTGGGAAAAAAAGTTTCAATTTGTCATCCATTGGTTGAAATTAATCCGCAATCAAACTCCACAATTTACCATTTTTCAGCACACATTATCACATAAACACTGATCCAAATCAGAAATGTCAATAATTCAGAGATTAAAGAGAAGGGGTTAAGGAAATAGAGTGACCTCTGCCAGCGTGGATGCTCTTCTGAGCTCCCATGGCGATGGTGTGAGAAAATGATCAAACATGAAGAGAACCCAGAACGGGAATTGGCATTAAACAAGGAAACAAGCAATGATAATTTAATTTTGAAATGGGGTTGTCGAGAAAAGGAGGAATCTTTGTTTCCTGTTTCTTCTCTTTCGGGAGTGAATTGCAGAGGAAGAAGAATGGTAAGGATTTGATGCTTTGGATATTTGGGGGGAGAAGAAACGAACTTTGGGTTTATCTCTTTCGTCTTTATTCTCTCTTCTGCACCTCTGGGCTTTACGCACGTGGGCCGTCTCTACGATTCTTACCGGAATTAAATTATTTTTTGTTGGACTCCGAGATTTTTTCATTTCACAAAAATAATAATTAATTAAGAGAAAATTAAATTTATTTAAGATAACCCAATTTTTTAATGTTGCCTGCCTCCTCAACTTAATTCATTTTCATCAAAACAAGTAATTAAAAAATATATATAAAAATGAATCATACATATATGCAAAATAACAAATATTTATTTTTGGAAGATTGTTTATGGTTTATTTTACAGCGAATATCCAAAAAAAAAGATTGAGTTTGGCACAAGACAGTAAATCACTCACCTCCAAACCTGAATCCAGCAACCACCGGCAAATTTTGTTATAGTTAAAAGGGAATATATCTCAGCAAATACGAACCGAAAACTGTAATTTCTATAAATATACATTCGCAAAAATGAAAAAAATACAAAATATAAACTAATGACAGAAACTATGTTACTATTTTTAGTCGATTGCTAGCTTTGCTATAGTTATTTGTTACCAAATGTGGAAGGAGTTTTACAAACGATTAAAAAAAAACAAATGAAAAGGTGACATATATGTGAGCAAACGAACACCCTTCATTTTAGTTTATTGCAACAACAAACCAACAAAAACTTATTAACGATCGTAAAACGGATTTAAAAAATCTGTACTTACAAGACCAAGAAGTTGCAAGAATTGAGTTATATAAGAAAAAAACATAAACAAGAATTGAGACACAATAACTCAAGAATACTACAATCAGAAAACTTTATCCAAAAAAAAAAGGAACACCAAAATTCGAGGATGAATCCCAAAACCCTATTTACGAATTTTCTCATCTTTTTCCTTGTACAAATATCATCATTATTAGTCGTAAACTCTTTACAAGCGTACCATAAGAAAGACTACAAATCGGAGTTTAAAACACGGCCAGACACAATTGTGCGAATCGTCATCTCAAATGATCTATTTGGTCTGAAGAACAATGAAAACGCAGGTTTTGTATGCACAAACGGTGATAAGATATGGAGGAAAAGCAAACCAGGAGACCGGTACGTGGTGGTTCAGTTCAAATACGATGGCTTGAGAAGGCACACTTTCGTGCATTGCCATCTCCGGTCTAATTTTGGGTTTGTGAATTTTCCGGTTGGTATTCATCCGGACACATCTGCTTATTGTCAACCTAACAACGTATGTGGTTACTCGATTCGAAAAGATGGTGTTTTTTACATGCCTGAGAAGAAGCTTTATCCATGGAATCGTGGAGGAAAGTGATGTTCACATATTGATGAATGATGTAATTATTTTGTATCAATAACTTGTTATTTTAGTTTCGTTTTGTGTGAAATAAGATTTACTTACAACCAGTGAGGTTTATCTTTCTTGGAGAATAAGGAAATTCTTGGAAAATATATTGGACAAAATGACATTGAAAAACTAAATACACAGTGTATATTATACAACAAAGACAAACCACACTCTCTTGTGAAACATAAGAGTGAACCAAATCAACACACAACAAACATGAAAAGGAAACAAAACAAAAACCAAATGCGTCTGCACAAGAATCTCATCATGACGAAAAAAACTGGTAAAACAGAATTTCT